CCCTTCCCCATGCCTTTTCTGTACCTTCCATCTCAGACTCTGTGGACAAAAGACAGAAGCAAATATCTACTTTGTTTAAGCCAAAAAATAAAAAATAAAAATAAAAATGAGCATAGCATCTGAATAGACATTTACCCAAAGAAGACATACACATAGCCAATAGGTACAGTACAAAACATTCAACATCATTAGTCATCAGGGAAATGCAAATCAAAACCACAGTGAGATATCACCTCACACCTGTCAGAATAACCATTATCAGAAAGACAAGAAATAATAAATGGTGAGGCTGTAGCAAGGGAAACTGTGCATTGTCGGTGTGATTGTAAATTGGTGCAGCAACTATATCAATGTGGAGTTTCCTTGAAAACTTAAAAATAGCAATACCACAGAATCCAGCAATTTTACTTCTGGGTATTTAGCTGAAGGAAATAAGAACAGACGACGAGATCGGGCGCGTTCAGGGTGGTATGGCCGGAGACAAGAACATTAAGTCGAAAAGATATATGCATTCACTTGTTCATTTACAATAGCCAAGACACGGAAATATCCTAAATGTCCACCAATTGATGAGTAAAGAAAATATGTTATATATACACAATGGAATATTATTCAGCCACAAGAATGAAAACTTGCCATTTCTGACAACATTAATAGACACCGAGGGCATTATGCTAAGTGAAATAAGTCAGATGGAGAAAAACAAATACAGCATGATCTAACTTATACATAGGATCTTAAAAAAACAAAACACTGAACTCGGACACTGAGTATTAGTGACAGAGCATATGGGTGGTTGCCAGAGGCAGGGGGTGAGTGTGCGTGAAATGAGTGAAGACGCTCAAAAGGTACAAACTTCCAGTTATAAAATAACTGGATGAAACGTGCAGAATGGTGACTAAGGTCATAGGATGAAATGTGCAGAATGGTGACTACAGTTAATGATACTGTCTGCATATGTGAAAGTTGCTAAGAGAGTAAATCTTAAAAGTTCTCATCACAAGAAAAAAATGTTAAATATGTATGGTAATGGACGGTAATTATATATATTGTGGTGATCATTTTACAATTTATACATATATCGAATCATTTATGTTGTACATCTGAAATGAATATAATTTCAATTATATCTGAATTTTAAAAAATAGGTTTCTTCCAGCCCTGGCTGGTTTGGCTCAGTGGTACAGTGTTGGCCCGAGGACCAAAGAGTCACGGGTTCGATTCCAGTCAAGGGCAAGTACCTCGTTTGCTGTTCAGTCTCCAACCCTGGTCAGGGTCGTGCAGGAGGCAACCAATCACTATCTCTCCCCACCCCCACCACTCTATCTGAAGATGAATGAAAAACAAGTATCCTTGGGTGAGGATTTAAAGAAAAAAAGGTTTCTTCTACCACATATCAATGTAAATCAGTCTGACAGACTGGTGAGTACTGTGTTACATGGTATAAGACCCAAAGTGAATGCTCCATTAACACCTGTGTCAGAATGCCTACATTCCTACCTCCCCTTCCTAGCATTTGGCTCTATGCTTTCCTTGCCCACTGCTATATGTTGTAAGTATAGGATACCTAGTTTGATGCTGGTGTCTGGAAACAAGATAAAAAGAAAAACTAAGAAATAAATATGGGACAAAAGACAATGATAATTCATAGAAGAAATGCAAATAGCCTACAAACCTATGAAAAAATGTTCAATTTCACTAGGAATAGAGTTTGAATCTGAACAGTAAGATACCATCCTCTCTAAAATTCATGGAGTTTACTAGAAATGAGGCACTGTTCTGGCTGTTTTATTTATTTTATTCCTCAACTGAGGATACTTTTCTATTTATCATCAGATAGAGTAGTAGGAGGGAGAGAGAGACAGACAGAGAGAAACATCGATGTGATAGAGCCACATTGCCTGGTTGCCTCTGTGTCACACCACCCGACCAGGGCCGTGCCCTAGACTGGAACTGAATCCACGGCTCATTTGTCCACAGGTCGACGCTCTAACCGCTGTAACCGCTAAGCCAAACCGGCCATGGCCTGGCAGTTTTATTAACTGAATCTTCACAATAACTCTATGAGGTCATTATTTTATACATAAGGAAACAAGCACAAACAAGATTAGCATATAGGGATTATTTTAGATGACCCAGTCCCAGGAAGCAAGCTCAGTTTGTCTTTGGCCTCTACTTGCCCCACATGTTTCAATTAGGCAGACTGTGAGTAGTACCCGGAGAGCAGGGACTCTGTATCTAGCACAAGACCTAGACCTCTAAGGATTTGTTGAATGGATACTCTTTTTTCCAACTATCCTATACAGAGAAGCCTTTTTTGGTGACATAACTTTTTTAAATTAATTGTTTAAAAAAATCCTCCTGGCCCTGGTCGGTTTGGTTCAGCAGCTGGAGTGTCAGCCTGAGGACCAGAGAGACCCGGGTTCGGTTCCCACTAAGGGCATAAACCTCGGTTGCGGTTCGTCTCCGGCCTCAGTTAGGGTCGTGTGGGTGGCAGCCAATCGATGTGTCTCTCTTGCATCAATGTTTCTCTCTCTCTCCCTCCTTCCCACTCTGTCTGAAGATAAATGTAAAAATATCCTCGGGTGAAGATTTAAAAAAAAAATCCTCCTAATTCATCAACCCAAACCAATATGTATGTTATAATCAAGATATCCTGTATATTCTCTAGTCCAATGGTTGTCTGTGCCTCAATGGATTTCACATGAGACATGCTTCTCCTCACCGGGTACTGTCCCTGACAGGTGCAGCAGTTTAAAGTGAATCACTGCTTTAGAAAAGTGCCATGTGCAAACATGACTCATTCACTTCATTCAGGTCCCTGCTCAACTGTCACCTCTTCAGAGGCCTCCCCGACCTATTTAAAACAGGACAGCATTCTCCAGCCTTTTACACCTTTTTTTTTTTTTGAGTCATAGCACTTACTACTACCCCTGTGATATTTAATAATTATTCCCTATGCTTTACCTTCCCTTCTAAATTGTAAACTGCATGAAGGCAGGGACTTTATCTTGATTCTGCTGTAATTCCACACCTACAACAGGAGAGTAGACTCCCAAATATTTGCTGAATCAACGGCAAATCAAAGGGCCTTTTTTAATATTCAGGGAAAGTAAATCTCCCTTTCAAAAAATAGTGCTCAGACTTAATGAGACTGAAGACAGACAAAGAGGCAGGAGCAAAAAGAGAACAATGACAAGTCTGACAACGTTAATTCAAGGGAAGAACACTTCACAAAATCTTGGATTTTCTCTCTCACTTTAGGCTTAAGGCATTAAGGGGTGAAATGCAAAAATGCCCACGTTTTAGTTTAAACACGCTGACAACACAATGGGGAGGAGAGCTGCAGGAAATTTCAGCAATAGTGGTGCTTCTACTGTTTTTACTTTTGAAAGTACTAAAAGTGGAAAAGAAAAGTCAGGCTGTCAGGTTTCATTTATAGATTAATGTAATTTATTATCTAACCAGATGCACAATATGCATTAAAGTCAAATTTATATAACTAGTGCTGAGTCCTCGACTCAGCCCGATGTCACTTTTCAGGCCTACCTCCCAGTTCCTGCCATCTAGCCTGGTATCGCTGGGCCACATGAGAGCATCATCCAAGGACAAACTTATCTCAAACTAAGAAATTGAGGGGAAGGCCCTGTAAATTTTAAGCTTGAAGGTGGGGTTTTGCTAGTTTACAGAACCCGAAATGACTGTTAAGGTCATAAATAAGTACCCTAAGGACTCTCTGAAAGTAAATTCCAGGAGAACTCACCATCCAAAAAAATAAAGACATCTGTAAAACACAAACCCAGCAAATGTTACAAAGCATTTTACATATATGGCACCCTTTCTTCAGCTCAGTCTTAAAAACCCCAAACCCCCCAAAATCCTAACCTGTTAAAAGGTTAAATGTCCTATAACACTGTACTTGCATTAAGTCATTTAAGTATTTTATTTCTATTCAGGTGCCACAAATAATCTTTTCAAAGAGCCTGTGGTTTGTCTAATAAAAGATATTAAGAGACTGTTAGCATAATAAGGAACCCCGATTATAACAATGAAATTGCTCTGAGGACTGTTGAATTAGTTTCTATACTTCCTACTTATAAATTAAGGCACAGATTCGGAATTGCAAATAGTCAATTCTAATTTTTAAAACTTTAAAACTTGAACAGCTGTTTGGGGCAGAGTGGTAAAAAAATTCCCCACATAGTTAAAAAAAAAAAAAAGAAAATGACCATTACCTCATTATTAAAAGAGTCTTCGAGGTTTCTTTAAAGGTCCTAGGGCAAGCCCTTAAAAAAGAAAAATAGGGAAACCTTGAGTACTGTTCAGGGCGGTGAAACCCCCCCAAAATCCAATGGGCACCTCCTATGGGCAAAGCGATCTGTTTCTGAAGCTGGGAAGTGAACAAGAACACGACTTTCTTCCCACGAGGGGAGGTTTACGCGCAGACGCACAGGTCGCGGCGAGGTCGGTATTTCCACGTGTACTTCATTAGCACTTCGCAAACCAAACTCACAGGTGCAACTCCACTCGTCGCCCTGCCCTAGCTCGTATCTGTTTAACCAACTTACATCATGGAGTTCTCAAAGAATACAAAATACAGTATATTCTAGAAGCAAAGTTATTCCTTAAAAGCAAAGCCCCGCCACTTTTTAACACGCGCACAGCCGTGACCCACAGCACAAGGCTCAGTCTTAACCGAACGAGACCGACCCCTCGGGGCGGAAGGAAGAGACCCGGTGGCCCGAGCCGCAGGCTGGAGGACACGCGAGGTTCCGCTCCGGGGCAGGCGGGCGACGCCGGCCGGCCTGGGGCGGCCGCAAGACTCTCGGCTCCGGGAGCCCGCTGGGGCCCTGCAGGAACGCGGGCAGGTGACAGCGGCCGAAGGCGCAGACACGGGCGCCCTGCAGTCTGCCCCACTCAATGCCCGCGGAGGAAAAGGGCCATCTGTGTGGCTCGTCCCTGGACCTGCCCCGTCCCGCCCGGCCCGGCCCGGCCCTCACCTGCGGGGTGGCCGGCGGAGGCGCGTGCGGGCGGCGGGGAGCGCAGCCGCAGCCAGAGATGCAGCGCGGCCCCGAGCACGCACGGGCACAGCAGCACCAGCCAGTTTCGCATTGGCCGCCCCCGCCAGCCCCACCGTAGCGCGCCGGGCTCTCCCGCGTCCCGGCGGAGGGCAGGGGACCGGCAAATGGGGCGGCCGACGCCCTCGCGACCACTCGGAGCGCGCCCCCCGCCGTCCAGGATCCTCACGGTGCCCGACCCCCGCGCCTTGGGCTCCTCAGTCCGCGGGCGGCGACGGCAGGGCGGCCGGAGTCCCGCCCCCTCCGCCGGGCCTCCCCGGCCCCGCCCCCTTTTCTCTCGCTCGCCCCGCCCCTTCTTTCGCGTCTTCTCTCCCGTCCCCTCCCGCGCCCCCCCTCCAGCCGGGAGCTGCAGTCCGGCTCCGGGCCCAGGGGGCGGTGCGCCAGGGACCTGGAGGCTCGGAAACTACATTTCCCAGAATGTCACGCGCTGGCCTGCGTCACTCGGAGGGCACGGAGGCGAAGAGCGAGGCCCCACACTGAGCATGCGTACCCCTTCTCACGCCTTCTCCTTTGCCCCCTCCCCCCGACGGCTTAGGGGGAGGGGATACAGGGGAGCCCCGCGCCGTGGCTGTCCCTACTGGGGGAGGTTAGCACCGCTCAGGCGAAGGCCAGAGGAGCTATGAGTGCCCCCTGTTTCCAGCCACGCCGAATGCGGCCTCCCGAACGGGGTGCGATCCTGCTGACTTGCCCTCGGCCGGGCGCGGCTGCCAGATGACGCACGTCAGCAGTGATCCATCTAGTTAGTGTTAGTCCTTGTGTAGTGCAGACCGGCCCGGACCCGCGCGCTGCTCCGGGAGCTCCGGAGGCGTGACAGCACTCAGGGGGCCGCGTGCAGGGTGCACGCTGGCGCGGCAGAGTAGGGAGTGGAACAGGTGTGTGCGCGCCGCCTGCGGCACGTGAACCCTGAGCGCTGAGGGCGGGGCGGGGCGGGGCGGGCGCCTTCCTGTGCACGCGGCCAGGTGTACTGCGGGCCCCGGCCGGCCCGGGCCTGGTCTAGAGCTCGAGGACTTCGCTGGAAGCCGGGTAGGGCACCCTCACTCAGGAAAGGATGAAAATGGCTGTCTGCTTGTGTTTTTTTGTTTAAGTTTCGGCAAGTTGTCACAAAAGTCTTGGATGAAAGCCACAGAAAATCCACTTCAACCAAACAGATGTAAGGGGAAAATGGTAATTTATTCAAGTAACTGAGCAGTCCAGGAGGAGACATCTCAGGCACTGTCAGTACCGTAGTTTCATTGAGTGGCAATTTTATTTCAGCGAAACAACCCTCCACTAAAATGACGTTAGTGGATTGTTTTCTAATATTGTCTGTACTGTATTTAATTTTAAATTTAATTTAATTGGTTTAATAGAAGTATAAAAGCTATAAGCCTAAAGAGTTTATACTGTATGCTTATACTTAAGTAAAATAAAAGTAAGTTAATATGGTGTCAGAAATAATTTTTTTCCTATAAAGAGATGTGTATGTTTATGAGTTATCAATTTCTACCTAACAAATTACTCTAAAACTCTTAAAACAATAATAATTTATTATTTCACAATTTCTGTGGGTCAGGAATTGGGAGCTAAGTTGTGGTTCAGGGTCTCACATAAAGTTTCAGGGAGATGTCATCTGGGGCTACCGTCACCTGAAGGCTTGACTGGCACTGGAGTGTCTTTCCTAGATGGCTCACTTACCTGGCTGGCAAGTTGGTGCTGCCTTTGGCCTAAGTAGGTCTCTCCAGTGAGTTGCTTTGGTGTCCCCACACCATGGCAACTTGCTTCCCCAAGAGCTAGAAGTTCAAGAGACCAGTGCAGAAGCTGCAGGGTCTTTTACAATGAATAACTGGAAGACACAACACTGTCACTTCTGCAGTGTTCTTTCTTTTGGTCACACATATCAGCCCTGATTCACTGTGGGAAACCACCAAGGGTGTTGATACCAGAGGTCAGGATTGTTGGGGATCCCCTTAGAGGCCTGCTACCAGAGTATATTATGCAAATTTAAGAAACACTACTGTTTCTAAATAGTTTGGGAGGTCTTTAGGGTCCCTATATATTCTTCATGGCTCCTAATTACCCTGAAGACAAGAAAACAATGTTTCCTTTTTTTTTTTTTTTTTTATCCTCACCCGAGGATATTTTTCCATTTTTTGTACAGATAGAGTGGGAGGGAGAGAGAGGAAGTGAGAGAGAGAGAGAAACATCGACGTGAAGGGACACATCGAGTGGCTGCCACCCGCACGACCAACCAGGGCCGGGGACAAACTGCAACCGAAGTACGTGCCCTTAGCGGGAACCGAACCCGCGTCTCTCCGGACCGCAGGCTGACGCTCTAACCGCTGAGCCAAACTGGCCAGGGCCAATGTTTCCTTCTTGTAGGAAATATGGAATTAGCCGACTGTGATCATCATGGCTCTTGGACAAATGTCACCAAGATCTGCATGCCCCATTCCCAGATCATTGTTTACATATCTCAGTAATGAAGTAGAATATGTAATGTTTACACATTTCTTGTTAGAAATTCTTTGTTTAAAAACTAGGCTGACCTGCTTTCTCCGTTTCAATCAAAGAAATTGTCAAGAAAGTAATAATTAGTTGTCACTAAGGGTTTCCTGTTTTTTTTTATCCTAAAAAATAAAATACAGTGAAAGGTGTCTCTTGATATCCTGAAAATTTCACTTTGGATTAAAGAATTATAATGAATTAACCCAAAAAGGAATAATCTCTAACTTAGGCAGATGTATTCATTCAGCAAATACTTATTGGGCAGCTATTATGTGCTAAGCACTTTTATAGATACTCAGGATAAATAGAAGAAAATAAAGATCCCTGTCCTATGGTGATGAGGGCAGGGGTGGACTATAGACTATAGATGTAATAGACAAATGCATTTTACCAGGAGGAGGAGATGGCGAGTGATACAGAAAACATAAAAAGCACAACAGGGTAGGGGAATTGGGAATGTCGGACTGAAATGGAGCAGATTGCAATATTAAAGAGCATCATTTAAACAACTGTTCAAAGTTACAATAAGCGCTAAAGGGAAGAATAAACAAAACCACCCTAATATATTAAATAATCAAGATGTTCTTTTCCATTACCAAAATGCTTTAACCTACAGAGGAAGCTTCACTGGCACTCTGACAGGCCTACAACAGAACTCACTGTGAACAACTTTTTAGCATCTTCAGATCTCACTGCAGGGGTAGCCACCTGTATCATCTGTTCATAGGACCAGTGGCCCTTTCTTCCATTCCTGTGTTGTCACCTATTCCCCAATATACTCAAGAGTGGTTAGAGACTTTAAGAAGGCAAAGGCCTGATCATGGTCATATGCTACGCTAAGGAGTTTGGATTTTATCTTGAAGGCTTCTTAATTTACTTGCAGCAAGTAAAGGAGACCCGGGATTCATATCCAAAGCTCTGCCTCCCTGAAGGGAGGCTTAGCCATTGCTTATATACATTCTTTGGTCAACTTCATGTTTTTGAAATCATTTAAAAATTTTTCAAATACAGTTGCCATATAATATTATACTAGTTTTAGGCGTACATCCCAGTGGTTAGACATTATGTAAGTAAGTGATCATCCTGATTAATCTCACACTCATCTGACACCATACATAGTTATTAGAATTTTATTGACTATATTCCCTATGCTGGACTTTACATCCTCATGACCATGGGACTTCTCTTCCTGGCTCTGGAACTCTGGGCTGGGAGGCCTGGTGTGGGGCTGGGACACCTCACTCCTCAGTGAGGGCCTCCACATCCAAGAGATCCCTCCCAATTTTAAACAGCCACACATGGGTGTGGGACCAGCCCATTTTATGTCTCCACCCCTCCTATCAGTCTCAATGTGGCTGCTTCTTTAAATCCTTAGTTGTAGGACTTCCATTCACCTAGATTTCAGGTGGTTCTGAATGATGATTGTTCTGTAATTTAGTTGTAATTTTATGTGTTGTCCGTTGGTTGATTCCTGTGTGTGCCCTGACTGGGGATCAAACCCACAACCTTGGCATATCTGGACAATGCTCTAACCAAATGAGCTACCTGGTCAGGGCCTTTCTACTAATTTTTTCTAGTTATTAACCTTTTCCCCTGAACTTTATATTTAATTTAAAAACTAATGCATGTTTATTATAATAAACTCAAGAAATACTAGTGTAAACAAAAAATATAATGTCAGAATCCTCCTTTATCCCTCCCTTATCTTTCTCTTCAGATTTGAGCACTTTAACATAGATATTTCTTATTGTACATATATTCTGAATTTTCCCAAATTCTCTACTTTTCTGGTGATGGGAAGGGAAGACTACCTTCCCTTTTAATTCCAAAGAATGCAATCTGTGCCCCTAGCCTGTTACCTCCAGAAATTGCAGTCCCCTCCCTAAACATCTACTGATGTCCTAAGGGTGCTTGCTTTTTCACAAGTTCATCATGATGGTAACTTGTCACCCCTGCCACAGACTGCTGCCCAGATTTCCTCCATCAACAGCCTGAGCCCTGAACTTCCTCTGGCCACAGCACCGGCTCCTCGGCTTCCTTCCCAAACACGGACACAGCACCTTCCTTCATCCCCCAAATCACAGCTAAGGCATGGCTGTCATGTTTCCCAGACTTTATTAAGGAGTTAGGCTAAGAAAATGCGACACAAAAAGAAAATTTAAAAATAGGTATGAGACAGCCCTGGCCGGTTTGGCTCAGCGGTTAGAGTGTCGGCCTGCGGTCCAGAGAGACCCGGGTTCGGTTCCCGCTAAGGGCACGTACCTCGGTTGCAGTTTGTCCCCGGCCCTGGTTGGTTCGTGTGCGTGGCGGCCACTCGATGTGTCCCTTTCACGTCTATGTTTCTCTCTCTTCCTCTCTCTCCTTCCCACTCTATCTGAGTAAAAAATGGAAAAATGTCCTCCGGTGAGGATAAAAAAAAAAAAAAAAAATAGGTATGAGACAGAATTGCTCCTCTGGTCCGCCAAGTTTCCCTGGTAATCTCTTGCCTTAGGCCCTGCCTCTCACGGCCCTGCCAAGGCTTGCTCATCTCATGAGGGTCCGTCCCTTCTT